TGAAGGAAAACAGCCTATTTAATGACAGAGGAGATGTCCCGCTTTGCAAAGAAAAGTCGATCGTTTATGTAAGATTTGTTTAAAAGTGTCACTTCCTATTGTTTTTTAAAAGGGGAAAGAATTAGCTACAAAGAAAAGGGAAGTACATCTATCTGACTATGAACTTCGTTCCATTTTGCAATATCCGAATACAGTATCAGTTCCGACCAAACTTCGAAAATGGCTTCTGTCGCCTTTTCTCGCGGAACTATACAGCCTACGTGTACATAATAATGTTATCTTTATCGGCAAAGTATGAATGTTGAATTTGATGTCAGAACCACTTGCAATCATTAGACTCCCCCCGTCTCCTTGGGGCCTCGCAAACACAAGAACAATTTCCACTCGTCGCACGGCTGCAAATATGTAAATGAGGTAATATTTGTCTGATCGTCGTCGTCTCTTTCTCTCTCTCTCTCTCTCTCTCTCTCTCTCTCTCTCTCTCTCTCTCTCTCTTCGTAGTTAAGTGACGTTATGATTATTTCGCTGCCATTCGACGAGTGGAAAAGTGTCTAGTGTGTACGGGGCTTGGAGATCCCAGAAGAAGTTTCTTTTATGCAAACTTACATTGCAGGGCGAGTACAAAGACCGCCACGAGGCAAGCGACGAGGACTCTGGAGCAAGACATGGCTGGAGTAAAATTCTGTTTGCGTCAGGATTCTCTCACAAGTTCTGCCGTCGGTCCTTGTTACAGCGTACAGAACAATATATAGGCTGGGATTTCCGGCGTGAAAACGCCTCGGCTGGTTTAAAATCAGTCAAAAGTCGTGACTGAAAAAGAAATAAGGAAATTAAGACTTAGGTTTTGCACTGGAATGAGAATTGAGCGAAGGCGCAACACAATTCTTATCTGGAGAATTTTTATAGACTACTTTTTCGTGCCCACGCTTACATTGTTATATATCTCAGTTATCTCTGTACTCAATGCCCTTGGAATTTACACATACATTCAGAAGGCTACTGACCTTCAGAAATATTATGTGTGAAAATCAAAGGCATTACTGATTTCATCCCTCTATTTATTAAAATATTTGAAAACGACCTTGCTGCGTTTCAACAAGGACGATTTCACACCCCGGCCGTACGCTTTTTCCATAGTGTTTAACCTCCCAAAGATGTGCTGTCTTTTTCTTTGTGTCCCTTACGGAAACATTTCCTGCTGTTTTACCCAACAACTTTCAATCTATAGTGCGGTCAAAAATTCGTGGAGCAACTTATTGTCAATTGTCTCTTCAATAAGCAAACAGACTCCCACTTTTGCACAATGCCTTGTGTCAATTTGTCTCTACAGATCAATATTTTTGTAAACATCTGTTCGCTGAATTCTAGAAAATTCCTCTATAAATACTAATAGAATATCCAAGTGGGTGGTTTCTTCAGGTTTTAAAATATTTACTACCTTCCCTGGTTGAGCGTCTACATAATCAAATGATCACTGCTTCCCATCCGTAATTTGGGAACATCATCGACGTCAAATTCACCCATTGACATAGAAATTTTTTATTGATTTAAATTTGAGCCATGTGTTCAACGCACACACACAAAAACTGTTTCATTGCAGCATAAATACCAACGATCGTCTATACGGTAGTAAAGAATCTTTGTAAATACATGGACCTTGTTCACCCCTTATGGGCCACTCTCATAAGCTGTCACAAGCACTGATCATGTAAGCTGACAACTGGATTGGTTCAGTTTACCCCTAAGCTGTTATGAGTGCATGTTTTCTAACTTTTTTTTCTCAACAGTTTTTACCGCAGTATGATCAGGTCATGACAATATTAATATTTTTCTGGCCACGAAAAGCTACACAAGGTCAGCTAAATTTGAAACCGAATAGCTAATAATATGCAAATATATAATTTGCAGTATTGTCATCTCTGCATCTTTGCCTTCTGTTCGTGTATTAACATCTTTATTTACATTAACTGTTGAAAAATATTGAGGCCATTATTCTCTCCGTGTGTTTAAACGTTATAATTACGTTTTCCCCAAAGGGGGAATTAAATTGTTAAATGAGATATTTTGTTGATTTTTTTTTTTGTGGGCGAACATACAATATGAATTCAGGATTTGTTTTCATTCACAACTCAGTGGTGTCGCCTCAAATAAGAGGTTTGGTTAATTACGTTATTGTCGGAAAGTTGTTCATGTGTGGCCTCACTTCTACCTGGTTCTTTGTCTCCCTTTACTTACCCTTTCGAACAAGTCAGTCAGCCTGCGCCCCTGTTGTCTTCCCATCAGCTGGGCCTATAGCACTTTTAACAGCTGAGCCTTTCTTTCATCTGATCGGGACACAATGCTCATTAAACGAATGTTTTGACAACCTAGTGCAAAAAAAATGTGTTAATTCTAAACTGTATTTATTGCAGCAATTAATGGTGCAGGACAAGACTTGAATTTTTTATTGCCTCACCGTCTTTTTTTATGGTTTTGTTCAGACTTATATATATATATATAT